TCCGTCTGTCATCCTCTTTTAAGTCACATTTCAACTCCCAGTCTGTTTTTAGGTGGTGAGCGCACGGCACATATAATGTGTGAGCTCAGACAAAGTCTGCATATTATAGTCCCGACTCACTTCTTGGTATGCATCTAATCTTCCCCTCAATTAATCTTTCCGTCCTCGATGCTCACTGTCACTCTCCATTGGCCTCCGATTGAATATAAAACGGAAAAAAGGCAAAACTCGCCTGATAGGGTTAACCCACACACAGGAGACATTTTTTGACACGGGGATCCGGCGGGTTTGAAGTTGATCTGAGGAGCAAAGAGCAGAAAAAGCATCATAAGCGTGCCACCACGATGTGGATTTATTCATCTCAGTGTGATTTACAGCCCAGTGGCTTCCTACCTCCTTCTCCCCCTTTTCTTCTACACGGGGGAGTACGGCACGTGCCGGAGTGTTAAAATAACCTCCCCGCTCAGTGGGAAACATGGACTGGAAAAGTCTCACCGATGCTTGGTGCAGCTTCAGTCCTGGGAGAATAGCTCTAGTCGACCACAAGCACCTTAACACTGCGCTCGGGATCGAGCTGCAGCCACTGCAGCTGTTGTGAGAGCGCTTGATCAATAAAGACTGAATTGTATAAAAGAAACTGCTCTTCAGGTTAGCGGTGTAAGCCTAATGAAACTGTTACACCGGAAACCCAAATTTAAGGACAGAAATGGTAACAATTGTAAGGGTGTAAAATGAAACCGTGCCATACTGGAGAGTAACCCCCCCCCCCCCAAAAAAAAAAAACCCTGCAGAAAACCACAGGTATCGATTAATCTATAGAACAGTTCCAATTTTCACCTTTTGGCCACACGCAGGTCGTGACTATGCCCCACTAAGCTTAAACGGCTTTGCCTAATGGCGCACGGTGACATCACACCAAATGATATCCACTGGCCGTTGACGTCGAGGCAGCGCATTCCGCGTTCGCTCGGCAACAGGACCATTTACAAGCGCACAAAAGGCATGTGGCCTGCTTGATGGCTCTGCTAATTGATCCCCAGCGGGGATCACAGAGCTTTTGCCAGTAAAGATGGGGAACGCCTCCCGTGACATCGCCGGTCAACGGAAAGCTTTCAGTTTGCCAGCATTCAGCTACGCGCCTTGAGTTGGTGGCCTGAAGTTGACCATCTCAAAGGATGTTTTTTGAAGCACAGTTTGGAAACGCCACGGGGGAATTTCATTGCAGTTGAGAAGTGGATCAGATGTTCAAAATGCGTTTGTGTGTAGCCCCACTTTTCCAATACCTCATGGACATTCCTGTGCTTCCAACTTGGTCGCAACAGTTTGGGTGAAGGTTCATGTAGTGCCATCTCTTTTTGGTACATGATCTTAAACCCCTTGGATTGGCACATTTTTTTTTTTTTTTAGGCTTTTATTTGTTTCCAAGATACCAAGGTGACGGCGTTCACTCTTGATGAGGCAGTACTCTGAAGTCATTACGTAAACCTGCAACGTTTCTGGCCAAGATTGAAATCTAACATATTTTTTCTTTTACTTCACTGTTTACATTTTTGCCCTCAGTGAAAATCGTCAATATCGGTCCAATCTCTTGTAAAATGATTCATCATCTGGAGAGCTTGTTGCTCCTTTGTTGTTGTCCTCACGCTCACCTACCGCGCAACATCCCAGCGGCTGCAGTCCTGTGTGATCGCAATTCTTATTTGTTAGAAATCTGCCGTCTGGTGCTTAAAATGTCGCGACAGAAAGACCTGATGTGACATCATCGGACCAGTTTTGCTTGTTGGCATACCAGATTCAAATAAACTACGAGATAGAATAAACTTTAATGATAAGATCTTTCGGCAAGATCTTACCTGCGCTTTTTTGTAATTGCGGCGTTACTTGTTTCTACCTATTACATTCAAATGAACTCCGAACTCTTGCGAGATCCAACTTCAAAGCCCGCCCACATCTACCTGACTACTGTTATATAAGCATTCTATCATCTCTATGTGACGCTCAGCGAAACCCTTTTAAGGTAAAGTACAAGTAATCCAATTTCACCAAGTGGAAAAATCAAGCCTCGATACTAAAGACACTTTGTGTGGTTCCTTTCAATGTATGAATCAGTCAGTGTTCAATGTCTCGGAATTGTACAGTGTTGTCAGGACTATACTGTATATCTTCAGAAGGCTCATAAGTCTTCTTCGGCTGGGAGCGCCGTCTGATTTAACCATCTGATCAAACCCTCTATAAGAGTGACTTCATTGGATTGTGCACGGTGAATAAATGGTTCCAGTAAAAACAGAATTGCATTCTTACAAACACACTGCACACGTCAAAGATCATCATGTCAAGACCCCCCACCCTCTCCGCTCCCAATAATCATTCTCACATCTCTGGATGAAGTAGAGGTGGGAGGGGGCGGGGGAGGGGGGCGCCTCCACCAAAATGCGATATTTGTAATTCCCATCCAACATGCACACCCACCCCAAGTAGCTCCTTCACTAGGCCTGATAGATGACCCTTGAACAGAAATAGAATGGAATAGCATCGTTCCAAGTGGGCTCTTTCCACCAAATAAAAGCAGAACTGTCATCTAAATTCATCATCGGAGGCGTAACCTGAAAGCTGCACTCTTGAGCTACCGCCGTCGAATGTGAAGCCCTGTTTGTTGTGGGGCTCTCCAATCCAGACCCGCCTGCGGCAGGTGAAGCTGCGTGATGCAGAGAGACTACATCATAAAACACACAAGAAACGGCTTTAGACCTCCCACGTGCTAAACAGCCAAATTCTGCAAGCTTACGGTTCACATGAAATGCTCAATGAAAGACCAACATTGAGTAGCATTGATGTTGCGGTAAACATAAGCCTTCACAAAACTTTAACACACACGGAGTAGCATCGCATTTAGCAAAAGGGAATTAAAGCTGCGTTTCAACAAATATGTTCAACCAAACCATGCACTAGTGCACAGGTGCAAACACCAGGCCCGGGGGCCAGATCTGGCCCACCACAACATTTTCTGTGGCCCACGAAAGCAAATCAAAGACGTCAACTTTCATGATGCTTGCTAAAATCTCGACCATCATTTCAAATTCTCATTTGTAATAAATAAGAGTGATACTGTAAGCATTTTCTTGTTCCCAAAAAAACCCTCGTTACAGTAACTTAAAGGTGCTACAATATGCTTCATAAGAAAGTGCATTGTCATGCGCGTTTTTGAGCGAAAATGGAATAAAACTGGGGCAACATTTTGACGGATGGAAAGATTCCGCAAAAACTCGAAGAAAACGAAGACATACAAAAACCGCGGTTCAACTGCATCTAATTTTAGATGACACGTGCTCCGAGGTGGCATTGGTCTTATCGGCGTGCACGCTATTGTCACTGTTGGACAACTATTGTGGTGACTGCGTGAGTGAGACAGCACAGTGCACTTTATAAGGGCCTGGGGACAGCTGCCAAGATAGCATTTATTAATCCCCTGACGCCACTCGCATACATTTATTAAAAAAAAAAAAAAAAATTGGTTGACAGTCTTCCCATTTAAAAAAACCCCAAACAAAAAAAAAACATTAACAAACATGAATTACAGCGACAACTAACAAGTCAGCCTTGTTTCCCCTTTCAAAATAATGTACATCAATGTTTTTGAACTAGTAACTGCTTCCTTTGATATGCAATCTCTGAGTATTCATTTTGATGAAACTGTAATACTTGCTTTCTTCAGTAGTCAAGGGCGCATTTCAATTGTTCTCCATGAAAAATACAGCCCCTCCCCACACCCCTTCCCCACTTCCATTTCCCTCTCACACACTTCCCTTAAGTGGAGATAACATCTGGGATAAGAAAGCGGTAAAAAGCAAAGAGGGAATGGGAGGAGGGAGCATGTATTTGTGTGTCTGCGTGTGCGTGTGAATTCTTAAAAATGTGTGTTCGATCAGCCTCAGGGAGGGAACCATTGGAGATAAGCTTGTGACAGCTGCCAAACACCTCTGTGTAAGACTGTGGTGCTGTGTGTGCATTAGTAATGGACCCCCCCCCCCACCCCTTTTAAGGGGGGGCCTGTGCATGCATGAATCCCAGCCACCTGCCGGCTTGAGTCCCTTCTGGCAGGTGTGACTCGGTGTGTATGTGATTCAGAGCCCTGATGATTGTGGAGCATATGTGGCAGCGTTATCGAGAGCCAGCATCTCCAGGCAATAACATGAAGACGCTGATGGTGGAGATTCGTGAAATGCGAGGAAACGTGAGCTTTACCTTATGTGAACAGCAAACACCGGATTTTGTCCGATAACAAAGTGAAAATCATGAAAAAAAAACCCATTGCGAACACCTACATCACTGATCTTTGTTGACGGTTGATCTTAAAGAGACCTGTCAAACACGAACCACTAAATTAAAGACATGAGAAATCAAAAGAATTTGGTCCAGGCCTTGAATAACTGTACACTTAAAAAAAAACTTTTGATTGCAATCTTATAGTAAATGTTGGACAGGGAAACAACGTTAATAATACGGTTTTCATCGTGCTTTCATACTAATTATTTCAATAGGTGAACCGTTGAACAGAAAGGCAACGCGCGAATCAAATGACCGAAAATCGTCCTGATCACAAATCAACAAATAGAAGAGTCTCAGATCTCTGTGAGAGGGGGAAGCACCTTTTCCTGCCAGGGTTCAAAGGTTAAATTCACAAGCAGGTGGCAGACTCAAAGTGAGCCTGGAGCAGGACGTTCAGTCCACAGGCTGCATTATTCCCAAGGCCGGCCATCTGTTTCAATAACATCCTTCTGCCTCGCTCAGATAGAATCGCGTTGCATTTTGACCTCCGGTGTGACAAACTCGTATTTTCTAAAAACAAAGGGGAGCTCTTTTTTACTTCCGTTGTATTCATGACCGTCCGAGGGTGCGGCTGAAACGTCGGTGTGCCCGAGCTTCACCGCAAAATTGTCAAAGCGTCTGGTCAGAGTGTTGAGCGTTCATTGCTCGTCTCTCTCTTGTCTCCCGCCCATCAGCCTGCCACTGCAACCTGCACGCTCGCCGCTGCCGCTTCAACATGGAGCTGTACAAGCTGTCGGGCCGCCGGAGCGGAGGCGTCTGCCTGAACTGTCGTCACAACACGGCGGGCCGCCATTGCCACTACTGCAAGGAAGGTTTCTACAGGGACATGAGCAAGTCCATCTCACACCGGAGAGCTTGCAAAGGTAAAAACTTGGTTGTAATGTTTGTACACTTCCAAAAAAAAAAAAAACGACACAAGTTGCATTTGTATCTCTAGAGGGTAGAAGAAAGAGGAAAAAAAGCGCCGAAATTCATTCATTGGCATTCTTTCCCACTTCAAGTTGGTCCTTTGATCTCTTAATGTGATACGTTTTGGCCATTTTTTTTTTCAAAATTTGACCAAGGGTTATCACAGATTCAACGGCAGAAATTGAAGTCATCTATCTTTAAACAAGAGTTTGGAAGTAACCTTTTAGTGGGACATTAAGACATAGAGTGTGTTTTCAGTGCTTGTTTGGCTCCAGACTTTCACAGTACATGCAAGAGAACACCTTGAATCATGTGTTGAAAAGTCAACGTTGTCATAAAGGGGGCTTACGGAGTTGCCATGGAACATGAGTCACTTCAAAATTCCTGTAAAATTCCAGTCAAATAATCCCTTTGTTCACAGTTAGCAGGCAATACTACGCTGTCATGCTTGACGTATTAAAGGAATTCTTCGGGAAGTTTGGAATAAAGCAGCCACCTGTCTCTGCACCGGTGAACTGACCCGCACCGCCGCAAAGCTATTTGGGGGTCCCCTGCGAATGACTGACAAGACAAACATAACAAACAGAAGGTGCGAGCGGATTTTGGAACCGGCTCACTAATCTCTTCGTGCCTGTTTCGCACGCGCGCGCGCGCACATAAACCGGCACAACACATCGACGCAGGTGCGGGCGCATACCTCCGGTCGAGGGCCAAGCGGCAGAGGATTATTGGCAAGAGAGACAAAAAAAGGGGGGGCATCTTGCGCTGACCCAACCACTTCAGTCAACAGGACACTTCCTGAGACACGTGACTTCTGCAAATGAGGAATCACGCCAAACACATTTTATTCACACGTCGCCTTTCTGTTGTTCTGTCGTTTATATATTTTGACTGAAATTAAAGGAAAAACCCAAGGCCCCGTGACCGTCTCTTAAGTCCAAGCTTTCTTCTGAACACAGCATTGAGGTCGGTTTACTGCGTGCGGTAATGCGGCGTTGAGCAAAGGTTTGATAGATCACCCGCATTTGGAAATGGTCCTTCGCAGCATTGTTCGAGCCTGCCAGTCTAAACATTTGCACACAGTGGAAGAGGAGTTAGATTCCGAGTGTTGAACCTGGCGTCAGGTTAATGCAAGGAGAGGGTTCTCGCTCAGCCTGATGATGGAGTGACATCCATTGATGTTTGCAAAGTCTTTCTAAACAGCCGGATCAGTACCCGGACGAGCTGAGGCCGGCGTGCCCTTCGTCCCGTCGCCAGCCGGGTGCTCGGGGATCAAAGCCAAACAGCCTGATTGCTGCCTTTTCTCCTCGGGTGACCAAAACGGGCCGACCCGACATCCGTTAAAGAGCTTCTATTTATTGTTCAAATCAGCCCACCCTCCCGCTCTGCTGTTGTTGGACAGGAAATAGAAGCGGCGTGCCAACACGGCCCCGAGGAAGTCTGCTTTTATTTCCCCAATCCGCAACTCCCTCCTCACTTGACGTCTTACTTAAACGTGCTCGCGGCAATGCGCCTGATGGATGGCCGCTCACTGGCAGAAATCTGGACACCAGAATCTCCAGTGGCGGCATGGAACGGGTTCACGCTTCATTTCGTCGACGGGCAGCTTCACCCCTCATCGAGCAAAAGTGTAAACGGGGCTCTTGGAGAGTCACTTGAGAATAGATTTTTTTTTTCTTTTCCCTCTTCCCTCAAATTTCTGGCAGTTGAAGCCTTTCACCGGGCACAGAGGAGAGGAAATTGATCCATGTCACACTGCCCCGAGTCTATTTTTGACATCACTTATCCTGTTCGGGGTTGTGCTGAGCTGAAGCCACTCCCACTTGAATGACGTAGTCGGAAAACACCCTTGACTGGTCGCCGGTCAATCCAAGGGCGAGTGTACAACTACACCGTAATGACTTCTGCTCACATTTCTGACATCGTAAAATCTCCTCCCCCTTTTGTTATTCAAGGCCAAACAAAATTTACCGGACAGCAGTTTGGAGTTGCGCACGCCACCAGCAATCAGGCCTAGTTTGACGCAGACTCTCCCTTTTCAATCAAAGTTAGCAAAAGGGTTGCTTCTCACCAATGAAGATTATCCTAACTTCCTTCTTTAAAGAAACAATACAATACGATTTAATTCTCGTGACAATGTGACTTTTTTCTTGTAGTTGAAGTCCTACTCGTAATGTTGCGGTGGTAAACTCTTCAAAAACATCTGATAAGTCAAACTGTCAATGCCTCTCGTGGTTCATACCAAGCAACACTTTCAACGCTAATAAGAAAGCTCGGCCTGTACTTCAAGCGCTGTATCTCGGTCCTGTAATTGTTTGGCAGAGCGTGCGCATACTCACGGAGCAAATATCTCACATTGAACGTGCAGTCTTCCCAGCTAACCGCTTAAGCAGACTTTGAAGTGTGTCCCACTCAACCGTGAACGGGAAACATTATTCAGCCAGTGTGCGCGAGCGCGTCGTTGCCAAAAAGCTTTGCAGTGGAAACTCAATCTGAAGAGCACGCAGCATGTCTGATCACAAACGTCTGCGCCCGGGCTGCTTCGAGACAGACTCCAACCTGCATACGTTTCGATATTAACGCACAAGATGGAAGATGTGCTAAGTGTGTGAAATGCTCATCGGAATCACGTTGTTTTGTCTTTCGTATTCCTCGTCAGGGATGGAGGGAAACTCTGTCATGAGGCGGTTTTATGCTGGTGCAAGGCCCAGTTCCTCGTCTGTGATATTACTGAAAGAAAATCAAGTTAACTCGAAAGGGAATGATTTCTCAGTATGTTTGAGTATTTGGATGACTGTCGATGTATGGAACATGTTGGGCCCCCTTCCAGTGCCAAGCGCGTCAAGCGCCAAGTGTGGTCTAACTGCGCGCATGGGCGGAGTCTTCTTTCTTTTTGGTATTTCTCATAGACGTGCACCGGTAGGAATGGGCGTCTGCACCGTTGTGTGAGTAAACGCAGCCGACTTGATTCTCCTCCAATTGAAGCAGCTCCTCTTATTCCTTTTAAATTCAGCGCAGGAGAGAAAAACAGTTAGATGGCAGAACATCACGCGCTCGCCGGAGTCCCCGCGGGAGCTCGGCGTGCGCAAAGTATGTTTTAGAAGGACGTGCAAGAAGATCAGCACTTAATGATGTGTAGAGGGTGCGTGTGACGACCAACACACACACACACACACGCACACATAGTTTTGCCGCAGTCAGGGGGGTGCTTTTAGAAATTAATGAAATCACGACTTAACTTGGCTTCACATCACTAATGTTGTTTCCTGTCATGTCATCTAATTGGCTCCCTCCAGCATGTGACTGCCATCCAGTCGGAGCAGCAGGGAAGACGTGTAACCAGACGACAGGCCAATGCCCTTGCAAGGACGGAGTTGCGGGAATCACCTGTAACCGATGTGCCAAGGGATACCAGCAGAGTCGCTCTCCCATCGCCCCCTGCATCAGTAAGCTTTTCTCAAGATGAATTTACAATTCTACCTCAAACATAAATTGGACTAGCTTTCTTAGTATTCACGGCCTCCATGACCAATCAGTGGAGCTGCTTCAATGATTGACGTGGAGATCGCCCAACGATGGCCAAACGTGGCAAACGTGTTTACACACTCTAGCCATCCATCCGTCCGTTTTCTAATTCGCTTTCCCTCACGAACATCGCGGGCGTGCTGGAGCCTATCCCAGCTGTCGCAAACTCCACATAGGAAGGCCGGAGCCGGAATCGAACCCTGCGCCGCTGCACTGTGCTCTGTTGCGGACGTGCTAACCAGTTTTCCTCCGTGCTATCCCTCTCACGCTCTCATGAAGCAGCAATTCAGACATGCAGAAACTGAAACCGCAACATAACTGAGGAAAAAAAAACAAAAAACTTTCTCAAACAAAGTACGTAGCTGAAAGATTGACTTCAGTACAGTAACAAAGTATTTGTACAGTACAGTCAGATGTACAGAAAGCCACATTACACTGAACGAATTAGTGGAGAATGATGTCATGTAATTATTTTTAAAACACCAGTCAGACGCAAACATTTAACATGTCAGAGTAAAAGAGAACCGCTGATCACTTTGAATTAGCTTTGCCATACCTTATTTAGGTCTTTTTTTTATGATTTTGTGAGCTCACTGGTGCATGAAACAGGAATGAGGTAAAGTATGAAGTGGTCATTTTACAAAATGAAAATACAGTAGTATATTTATATACATCCATCCATCCATCCATCCATTTTCTGATCTGTTTATCCTCACAAGGGTCGCGGGGGGTGCTGAAGCCTATCCCAGCCGTCTTCGGACAGTAGGCGGGGGACACCCTGAACCGGTTGCCTGCCACTCACACACAGAGACAAACAACCATTGACGCTCAAACTCACACCTAGGGACAATTTCGAGTGTTCAATCAGCCTGCCATGCATGTTTTTGGAATGTGGGAGCAAACCCACACAGGCCCAGGGAGAACATGCAAACTCCACACAGGGAAGCATGTGCTTAGCAAATTTGGGTTTGGATTTTAGCTCAGATCTTCTGTGTGGAGTTTGCATGAAAAAATTTGAAAACTAAACATGATAAAAAGAGAATTAAAACATCCAAACATTTCCTTCAAAATGCCCCATTAGTTTAATTGTGAAGTAACTTTCACGTGCAACCGTTTACCATGGATAGCTGCAGTTTTCGAAACCTTTCACTACTACGCAATGTGGCGCAATGGTGATTTTTTTTTTTTTTTTAATCGCTCACACTGAGGATTTATCACCCTCAAGAAGACGTCTGGTCTGCAGCAATAAATGTTGTATTGTGAATAAACCACAGCGGTTCATCCAGTTGCAAATATTTTTCCGCTGAACAAAAGCCGTTTTTATTCTGATAACAGTTTGACAAATCAAAGCTGCTTTCCTTTTTCTTGAATGTTCCGTCTGATCTCAGAAGACGACTTGAAATGCTTGTGCAGGCTTGTTAGGAGTCCCGTCACGTCTTGTTATTTTTATATCCGATTCCATTATTCTGGATGGATATTTGGCTGTTTAAACCCTGGCCCGCATCAACAGGACCTTACCACTCACCTAACGTGGCCTTTTGTGCCTTCTGTATCGTTCGCCGTCTGTCTTACGGTAAATCCCCAAAATGTGTCCAAAGAAATGATGGCTGATACCGTATAGCTATTGGCTGCATCTGCTGGCTGCCGATGGCAGGCCTTCGGTAACAGACACCAGCGTCACACTGAGATAGAGATCGCTGGTAGCTATTTTGATCAAAAAAAAGCGTCTGACTGGTATTAATAGAGAAGTCATGTCTGTAGCCGCCGAAAATGGTGCCCAGCGCGCTTTACGGTCTTATCGTGAAGAAGGAAAAACAGAACATACTTGGTTCTCCCGCAGCACTTTCAGCTCCGCTTTGGCTCTCAGCACCTCCAGCAGACCACAATGGCAACACTTGCACAAAACTCATCTTACACCAGCCGCTGAGGCACGGCGTGTGTCCAAATCAGCTGTCGTTCAGAAGACATCGCGCCCGGGCTCAAAGGTGTATGATTCAGGATATGCGACGTGTGGACCAAGGCAGGAGAAAGAAAGTGTGCTCTCATGGACCAAACGCGTGTGGATGATTCTCTTTCAATGACAATTAATGACCCGCTTCTTGTCTTCGCCGCAGAGATTCCAGTTGCATCACCTACAGCGACTTACAGCAGCTACGATGAGACATCAGGTCAGTAACGAGGCAAACATTCTGCTTGTGCATTTACACGTTTCTGCAAAAATCAGGACCCACAATCCTATCTGGACTGGGGTTGGAGGTGGGGGGGGGATAGGATGCTGTTTTGACTATTTGATTTTTGCCAGGTAGTGGCATGCTTTATACCTCCGTAATGCGATAAGACCAAAAAGCATACCTTGTTTTTTTTTTTTTTTTTTGTTTTTTTTTTATAGGTGTTTACATAAAGTTGCTCTGACACTTTTTACACCAAGTACCGCCTCAAAGTATCACCATAAAGACCACAAACAAATTATAGGAGCATAGTAGGCTCAAGTTTTGGCAAAAATAATTTGAATAATAAAAAATGTTATCATTTTAAGCCGCTGTCATCTTGACCGTGATTAAATAATTCAATGAAAATGCTTTGCACGTAAGTTTGATAAAAATGGTACCTGACATGGACATGTTTGAGAATAAACAGTTCTAAAGGATAACTTGAAAACAAAGTTAAATACAACTGAACTGTACTTAATAATGTACTTTATTGGCTTAAAACAAAATAATGTAAGCCCTTGTGACACTATACACAGTTAGTGTTTTTTTTTTTTAAATGCGCTTAATTCAGTCATTCACGATGTGGGAAACGGCATTCATGTTTTTCTATTTCACCCTCCATCTGCAACAACGTGGTCTCACTTCCGACCATCAAGGTCCACCACTGATGCAAACTCCAGGCTCGAGAGAGACTTTATTATTTTATTTTTTTTCACGGCTCCCTGCGGCGTCATTGCCTGTATTCCAGGCCTGCGCTGCGACCCCCCGCCCTCCCCCCTGAGTTTTCACCCTTAATCTGATTACATGCTTCATTTGCACCAGTTTGTATTTCAATCAAGGCTGACCGCGCTGCCAGCGAAGCCCAGCCTGATTTACTCAGACAAGAGTCGCCATGCGGTGACATGAGGCCATGTGCCACGGCAGTATTTACCCATCGCTTTAGTGTCTTTTTTTTTTTTTTTTTTTTTTTTTTTGTGGTCAGTGTGTTCCTTTCATGGCTCATTAGGTTCAGACCCTCCCCGGACCCGTTGTTTTAGTTGTTTACAGTGTTGCCTGAATTAGTTTGACTGTGATATTGCATTGGCCTGGGAAGTTTGGAGACTCTCTGGGGGCTCCTCCCACGACACAGCCAGGATGATTGACATCTTTTATTAAATAATTGACATAAAACGAATCGTAAATAACTTAAATACCAGCACTGAGATCAAACTTTCTAACCAAATAAGAATCTAAAAAGAAAGCTTTTTTTCCTCTCGAGGTCGTAGGTGATGACCTGGGTCGCCCCGCCTTGTTGCGATGTTTCTGACGGCGGGGTGAGTCATTTCTGACTCCCGGCGACAGTGAAAGCAGCAGAGACGGTGTAAAGCTTGGATTCTTTGTCGACACCACCCTCCAAATTAGAAGCCTTGTGGTCCCTCAGCGATGAGCGTGGCGCTGCCGCAGTGCCGCACAATGAGGGCGTTTGTCTTCCCAGCAGGAGATTGGACCTTAATGAGCGCCGCGGGTGTAATGGCTCGGAGTGTGCAGCCATTTCTCTGAGGGGGCGCAACGCCAGTGTCGCCTATCAAAGGGGGTGGCTTTTGTGCCTAACTGATGCTTCCTTAAAAGTGATAGCATTTTTTTTTTTTTTTTTTTTTTGTTTTTTTTTTTTCTGATCCCACCACCTGAGAAAGCAGCCAGGCATTTCAACCCAAAATGCTTCCTCAACATACATGAATTCCATCCTCATTCCACAAACCAAATGACTTTTTCTTTTATAAGAGGGCGGAGAGGGGCGCTTTTTTTCTTCCCCCATCATTACCCGGGCAACCTCATTCACACAGAGTAGAATGGAGAAGAAAGGGGGCGACTGGACAGAGAGCTGGAAGAAATAATGAAGTTTGTCCATATTCAGGCGAGCTGAAAGGCCCCCCCCCCCTCTCTCAACTGCTCCCTCCTTCCTGCTTTCCCACCCCCCCCCAGAAAAGGGAGCACGGGTCTCACTACTCGGAGAGAGCAAGAGTTACAGCAACACGAGTAGACGATCTGCTTCCAATTTGTGTCAGTCAGTGGAAAGTGGAGAGAACAAATGATTTCAATTTGAAGTTTTTAGCCCCTCACCACCAGCTCCCTCATTATGAGCCCTAACTGGCACGGTGACAAAAGCAGCAGTCATCTTTAAAGCCTGCCACTAAATGCCAAGTGCACATAAACTGGCGAATCTTCAGACATGAATTTAGACTTCGGGCCCCATTTTCGTTCCCGACGCAAGTCGAGCGCAAAACGTCGTCTCACTGCGGATGCGAGGACTTTTCTTTCTTTTGGGATTTTTGCTCGACTTTGCACAGGTAGAATTGGGCATTTGTGGCGTGTTGCTCCGTTGATGGATGAAACAAGCCTTTTCCCGCCCCCGAAATTCCTTATAATTACATGGATGAAACCGTAAACATAACGCATCATGACAAAACCTACTGGCAGTCGTAAATTGTTGGTTTTTTTTTCTAATCTTCAACTGATTCCAAGGTTTTGATGCACTGTTGAGTCCTAGATTGGCGTGAGTACATGAGTCGCAGCCGACATTTTCAGCATCTTTCAATGTCGATGCCCCTCTTGCGCCGACTGACAAATCCAACACAGCTGGCGGTGAGAGTTGAGATTTGTCAGCATGTGTGTCGGCGGAAATTTTGCCCAAACAAAAACATTCCTCTGCGATCCCCCATCCAAGTTTTGCACAGCAGGCAAGTTGTTTGATGCTTTGTTGTTGTTGTTGTTGTTGTGAGTGTTTTTTTATGTGTTTATGGCCAACAGTCATCGTTACACAATACTACAATTAAATAAATATGTACTGTAAACAGTAACTTGCCAAAGTAAAAAAAAAAAAAAAAAATCTATATAATTACAGAAAATTACAAATAGCCTGCGATTGGCTGGTGACCAGTTGAAGCCCGAGCGAACATAAGCGGTCATGAAAACGAATGAAAGAATGAATCTCAAATAGGTGATATTTTCTGTGAATAACAGTGGATAGGGTCCAAACAAACACATCTTCAAAGAGGTAGATTTCCCAATGCCAGACCGCAAATATGCAAGTGTAATTTAATGGGAACCGAGGGCATGCGAGTGAAAGTGTTGATGGCAATCAGAAGAGGATTTCTTCATATTTCACAATGGGAGCCAATGGAGGTCCGCACACCGCAACGGCAACCCCAGGACAGCGTATTCCGCAACGATAAAAATCCAGCGGTGTTGTGAAACAATCACACACAATCACTCTCAAGTGAACCCACATTTTTTTTTCCATGCTCATTAAATTGTGGTGCACGTTTAAGAAGGCAAGACCATTTTTTTAAACAGCCTTCGAAAACACACACCACCTTAAAAAAATCAAATCAATCAATCAAAACTGTCATCCCCCCCCCCCCACTTTTTCATGAGCTGTCAACGACACACCAGATGAGAATCGCTGTTCTCCATTTGATTTCGTACATTGTATGAATCAAAATGTTCAAAAAAAAAAAAAATGTGCGTTTCCCTTCATTCCAGATTGTGAATCCCACTGTAAAGCTTCCAAAGGGAAAATGAAGATCACCATGAAGAAGTACTGCAAGAAAGACTACGGTGAGTGAGCCCACTCTGCAAAAATGTGCCGCCGCGGACGCTAAATGTCTCAATTAATCAGAGGCGCGCGGCATCCACGCCCTGGTGCAACTCCGCCGCTGATGACTTAAACAGTCGCAGCCGGTGCTGCGTGTTTCTCCTTTACCCACATCTTCATTTGCTGTGATGGAATCGTCTGCTGGGTGTTCTGCTATTCATCACTTTATGAGGACAAAAGTCTGTTTACACACTGACATCATGATGACCTCTTGCAGTGTGGGGACCCAAAATCCGGTCCCCGTAAGGGAAGTGTGCGTCTGTATTTTGTGTGTGTGCGTGTGCGTGTGTGTGTGTGTGTGTGTGTGTGTGAGACGAGACACCCAAGTCACGTTCCACAATCAACGCAATTGCTCTGAGCCATCACTTTTTTTAATGATTGATCGTCCTTACACGCTTTGCCGTTGCATTCTTCGAGAATATGTGAGTCTTGTGCTTCTATATTTCAAATCCCATAACATTTACTTGCGCAGGTGCAATGCACTTGTGTGAAGATGTAAGAAGGTGCCGATGTACTCGCTGTAAGTCGTGATCCCGCTCGGGTCCATGTCTGCCATGCAGAAATAAGAATACATCCCCAAAGGTGCAAGACCGGCCAATAGCAAGAAAACACAAGTCGAGAAACAGCAGCCGCAGCGCAGTGAAATAATTCAGACGGACTGAAGTGGAGAAATCCCCTATGTTTTTCAAATTCCGACAGATGCTTTTGGTTTTGAAGGTCCGAAAGTGTGGACATGTCCAGGAAAATAGGATTCAAATGTATGGGAACAGGTGTAATATTACCAATGATTTTTTTTTTTTTTTTTTGGAATGACTTACATTACCGAAGTAATGCATGTGCTAAGAATAACTAATACTAAAATGGAACTTTAGCTTTTGTTTGGCATGACTTCCCGCACATAAAAAAAAAAAAAAAAAGTAAAAATCAATGAACAACCCTTATTGAAATGCAGACACAGCTTCCCCGCATAACTTATCAGAATTTGGACTTGACACAAACAAATGGAGACATCTGAAAAAAATCTGGGACCGTATCAAGAATGCATCCAAAATGATATGTCGGTCTCTGCCGATTTTTACCAGATGTTGCGAATAGAATAAGCTTTGACAATCAACATCCTTAACCAGAAGTTCTTTGTGGAGAGTGCGGTCGTCGCGCACAATTGTTTTGTTCCTTTCGCTAAGTATTTCATTTGATACGATGACAAAATCATTGCTGAAAAGAATTATTGTCTGGAATTTAGGGAGATGGAAACCGTATTTCTTGCTTGTCACAGTCATAAAGCAAAACCCCCGGCCGGTCACGAACTGGGAAAATGTTGCCTCGACTTGCGGGAAGATTTGGGAAGCGTGACTACCTCTCCTGTGATTCGGGGCTCACCCGGGGGGGCTGCTCCGGCTCCCTCCGGGTTCAACGCTTTCACTACTAAATCGTGTCCGAAACAGAGCGCAGACTCCAAAAGGATTGGCAAAACCGGTTTTCATTTTGAAGCAAAGTTGTCCGCCGAAAATAACAAATAGCAGAACTTATCTTCTGAGTTACTTTTAAGTGATCAGTAGAGTAACACACTTATTTTTAAAATCAAGTCATCAATTCAAGGTAATGTGGAAACGCTGCATTTGACACAAATTTGATCCATTCACCAAGCGGTAAATTTGGGACAACATTGTGAAACGTTTTTTGCCAGCGCCATCTCGTTTTCTGCGAGGAATTTTGATCGTTTCAAGTATTTGCCATGAAAAGGGCTCGGGTCTGCGCCGGTGCTGCCCCCGTAGCTTTAATTCCAGTAGTTGTTGATCAGAGTCGAGTGAGCTGCTGAGTTTCAAAATCAGCCGGGCAGACTCAAGCGGGTCAGACAATTGATGCTGGTTTTCTCTCAGAAGTTTTTCGAGAAGGAGATGATTCCGTCCGAAGCACGCCGTGGCTGCTTTGCGGACATCTTTGCTGAGCCTGCATTCCTTTGCTTTTGCCGTTAATTCATTTCTCAGGCCTGTCACCTCGCTTTTATTGGTCTCTCCCTGTTCTCCGGGGGTGGTGTGAGGGGGGGGGGGGCACAACCCCTGTGTGTGCGTGACCGCGGTGAACCCCCCAGGGGTCACGGGAAGGGGCCCTCTGTTTAAACACAGTTGTGCACTCTGCCGGCACCGAGCATTCCTTGGGGCGCAAACAGGTGTTAAATTAGGCAGCCGGTGACGGATTGCCACCGCGGAGAGGAAGAAATATGTTTTGTTGATTCAATTTTTGTTTTTCATCCCCGCCGTCACTACGGAGACGGCGGACACAAAAGGATTATTTTCTGGCCTGACATCCTCCTCGGCACACACACGTTCCCTCCTCCCTCCTCGCGCCACCCGGAGAAGAATGAATCAAAGCCTCGTGTGTTTGCTGCCGCTCCGGGCCGGCGGTCAAAGGCGTGGAAGCCCCCGCCGCGACTCAGACGAGGGCAGGAGGTCCCCGGTGGGTCTCTCGGCCGATAACCGGACGGGACGGGGGCCTCCCGCTGTAATGAAGTGAGCTCGAATGTCACGAGCCCCTGCCTGTCGATGGCGCCCGGTGTCAAGCTGCAGCACACCGCCCCGAAGCCGTTGAACCCCGTGGGAGGTTTGGCCGCCGGCTCGTCTCCTTTGGCAGCCGTTGTGTGAGCGCAGCGCCGTTTCGCACTTATCGCTTCCTCTCACAACACCTCTTCTTTTCCATCTCCCGCTCCGTCGTCTCACCGCAGCGCCGCTATTTTGCCACACGCTCTTTGACCCCGCCGCTGCCGAGCGAGGCTCTTTCGCCGGCGGCTATTTGGTTTAAAAGCAAGTGGCCGGACGTGTGGGGATTTTGTGTGCGTTTGGACACAAAGTGAGAATGTACTTGAGAGCGGGCGAGTGAAAGATACTAAGAGGAAGCGAGGCTCGGTGCCTGGATGCTGCAGAGAAGAGGGCGATGTCTCTGCTGGGTTCTCACGCCGGCTAGTTGGATGGCGCTCTGGGAGCAGAACCCGGACAGCTCGCGAGGTTGGAACATATTCCGATTCTCCTGGAACTTATTCTGTGGCTGGGAAGACAAATAGTGGGCTCTCCTCCCTCCAACACCCCCCAACGCACCCTTTATGTGTCCGAATGGAGGAGAGGGCCGCGTTTGAATGGCAGGCCTGTGAGAGCTCACTCGACTCAGCCCAACAAACCTTCTTTCTTCTGATATTGTGCGCGGACACACACACACACACACACACGCACACATGTCCACAGCGAAATGCCCCATTCTCTGTAACGAATAAAAGGCCCGCTACCGGATTCCCCCAAAAAGTGATTATATTCGACTGCAGATGCAAAGAGAAAACACCTGTCTTTGTTGAAATGCATAACTTTATTCGAGTGGAAAATGAATGGAAATGCCATTCATCCGCCACAAAAAAAAAGAAGGTTTTAGCAAGGAAAAATCTAATATTGACCTTTATAAAAACACAGATGAATAACATTGATAAATAACATGGAAAGAATGACGCGTTTTGTTCATTTTGATTGAACAACTAACTCTATAATGTTTGTCATTTTACGTCGAGGATAAAGAAAAATTATTGTTATAATATCTGTCTACATGTGGTGCCCCACCATTGGTCTTTGATTATCTGTTGCTTCTAAAACGACTGTCACTGCTAACAATTAGCATCTCAAGGGGCGTTTGCATTGTTTACTAGCATTAAGCTAAGCCGACTTTCCTAAAGCAAAGCTATGTAAACGTCAAATGTATTGTAAAAACACTATATACACAATATAAGAGTGACATTTAGGACAACAATTTTAGTGAGCGTAACCAAGTAAGCAAGTTGTTTTTATTGAAAACTTTAAGTTGGGTTTCAATGAAAGGGACAACCGTTTTGGAAAACGTATTTCTTTTTGGTGAAATGCAGGAAAGCCAAAGTTAAAACATGTCAACGTTTGTTGACTTTACATGATTTTGTGTTCGCCAAACATTGTTCCCTGGGTGTGTGGAAAGCTCACGCTCGGATAATGTCATCCCATTCTCTCGATGGCGATGGGAACGACTATCGTTGAATAATAGCAGATGCTGTTGGCTGTATTCTGAAACCCATCGTGACATTCCCGCTATGACGCCACGTGTTGACGAACACGGCAATCGCGGCATTACATGAAATGTGGATCAAGGGATAAGATAATTCTTCGCACCTGCGGCTGCTTGGCGCGAGTGACATCTTGAGCCGGTGTTGTCGAGATTAGAATCATTTGCACTATTTGAAATAAATGTGAATAACAGCGCGCTCAAATCAAACCCAGATTGCAACGCATATCAAGGCCAGCTGAGCTCCGGAGATGTGTTTCTCTGGCGGCAATCAAAGTGATGTGAAAAAAAAAAAAACAAATGTTCCGTAGGGCTCTGCCGCCAAAGGGGCCTTTAATTCTTCTCTCATGTGAAGTTTCTCCGCCGTCGCCTTTCTTGCCAAAATGCGTCGAGCCTACTGGTGCTCATATCCTTTCGGCGATCCTCTTTCGGGAGGTAAGCGCAGGACTGGTCAGCGGCCAGTCGCAGGGCGCCTGCGGACAAGCAGGCAGCCCCTTTCACATTCACGCCTATCGACAAGGGCATGTTTTGGGACTGCGGACCCGGAGAAAACCCCTCACAGGCACCCGAGCCACGCTGGGATTCAAAGGCCACACCTCAGAGCGGTGATTCCCTCACACAAATGTGTTGTACTGAAAAGAAATATGTTGTCAGCTCGACTAGTTCCATTCAAATCTACTCCTATTTTAATTTAACGATGAATTGGTGTGAAAGTTTAAAAAAACAACAACTGTATTTTGAAAACACTGTCCAGTTTTAATAAGTGCTGTGTGAGGTGGACTCCACCAGATGGTAGTCATGCCTAAATTGTGGTGCTCCATCGCCGGCTATCGTGAAATGTCTTGAATTCATGGTAGAAGTGCTCTTCTCGAAGCATATCCAGGTTTGATCACTTTTATTTATCATTTTTTATCATGACCAGAAGCCTTTAAAAGAAACTTCAAATGCCCTACCTGGGAACACGTGATGTTACCAGGTACATCCTGATCAATATTTATATGTCTGTACATTATTTATATGAACGTAAAATCTGTTCAACACCCTGAACAAATCATCTGAGTTACATACAGTAGATGCTTTGGAGATATGTAGACACCTTAGACAAAAAAAAAAAAAAAACGGTCGGTGAACCCCCATCGAGTGGGGGAAACAGAGATGTCACAAAATAGCGGCAAACCTCTACTTTTCTCTCAGACATGTCTTTGGACCGTATAAAAGAAGCTCCTCCCCTCACTGAAACATAGTTCCTTGGCACCAAGATGCCACAAAATGGCCCCAAAGCAAGACTTTTATATGAGATGCAGTTTTGGCCCGATTACCAGTCAGCAAATAGGTGAGTTTTTCAAGTCAAGTGGGATTTAAATAACAGAGGATGCGTCTTCCCCAAAAATCTGTCACCGGGCAAATACGTGGGGGACCGCTTGACGCATGATTTGAAAAGTCCACTTTCCATGTGATATCCCCTTGAAGACATCTTGCGCTGTCCTCTCTCAGCTGTGCAGGTCCACGTGCTCAAAGGGGACAAGGCGGGCGAGTGGTGGAAGTTCACCGTCAACATCATATCGGTCTACAAACAAGGGGAGCATCGCATACGGCGCGGAGACCAGCTGCTGTGGGTGCGCGCCAAGGACGTCGCCTGCAAATGTCCCAAGATCAAACCCGGGAGGAAGTACTTGCTCATGGGCTCGGACGATGACGACTCCCCCGGGCAGAGCGGGGTGGTGGCGGACAAGGGGAGCCTGCTCGTCCCTTGGAAGGACCTGTGGGGACGTCGCCTTCGGAAGTTCCAGCAGCGCGACAAGAGGGGAAAGTGCTAAAGAGGAGAAAAAGAAAAAAAAAAAGGGAGAGGGAGGGAGAAGTGGAGGCCATTCTCCAGTGGGGTGCAATGAAGAAGGGATGACAAACAAAACTGAAAGAATGATTTCTAGAGGGGTGACTTGCCTGCTGCTGCTCTGACTTGGGACAAAAGTTCATGAAAAAAAATGTTGTTGTTTTTTTTTTTGTTTTGGTTTTTTTGTGAAGGAGCTCATTATATGGTCATTCTGTTTGTTTGTTTGCAGGCTTTGCACCGAATGTTCAGGATGAGTTAGATCACAATCCGTCAAAATCCCCTCGTCATCTGTGACGCTATTTTTTTCCAGAAAATGCCCCGAATTCGACGTGAATTGATTTTACCGTGAATTTTTAAAAAATGAGGTGTCCAGCATTTATTAAGCAAAATTGTTGAACGCGTTCGTCGAGGTGGTCAGCTTCTCAAATGCAGACGTTGTCGTGGGCCAGCTCAAAGTAACACGATGTTGTCGTGGTGACCTCTGCGTAAGTGTAAGGTCATTTTGTGTGCATAAATAGACAATAGATAGATGTCGTCACGTCAGTGTAGAATAGACACATCAACCCTGCACTTATTGATTAGTTGAGACTATTTTAACATATGAGATATGTTCATATTTTTTCAAGTGGCACCCAAAAGGGTAAACATTTCCTCTTTTGTGCCATTTCATGCAAAAAAAAAAAATATATATATATATATATA